TCAATTTGCTAGGGAGCATAAAGATTGGACTCTGGAGCAATGGAAGCAGGTCATGTGATCTGATGTGTCCAGATTTACCCTGTTCCAGTGATGGGCGCATCAGGGTAAGAATAGAGGCAGGTGAAGTGATGCACCCATCATGCCTAGTGCAAAATCTTGGTGAAAAATGAATGCAACACTGGATGGAAATAGATCTTGTGACATTGCAGAAGCTTATTGAAACAATGCCACAGTGAATGCATGCTGTAATCAAAGCTAAAGCAATGTCCAATGAAATATTAGTGTGACCTTTTTGTTTTGGTGGCAACTTTTCTTTTGGCCAGGCAGTGTATTTACTTGTATATAAATACTAAAATAAACTACTACTTACTACTACAGTAAATACTAAAATAAACTACTACAAACCGGATTCCAAAAAAGTTGGGACACTAAACAAATTGTGAATAAAAACTGAATGCAATGATGTGGAGGTGCCAACATCTAATATTTTATTCAGAATAGAACACAAATCACAGATCAAAAGTTTAAACTGAGAGAATGTATCATTTTAAGGGAAAAATCTGTTGTTTCCAAATTTCATGGCGTCAACAAATCCCAAAAAAGTTGGGACAAGTCCATTTTTACCACTGTGTGGCATCCCCCCTTCTTCTTACAACACTCAACAGACGTCTGGGGACAGAGGAGACCAGTTTCTCAAGTTTAGAAATAGGAATGCTCTCCCATTCATGTCTAATACAGGCCTCTAACTGTTCAATCGTCTTGGGCCTTCTTTGTCGCACCTTCCTCTTTATGATGTGCCAAATGTTCTCTATAGGTGAAAGATCTGGACTGCAGGCTGGCCATTTCAGTACCCGGATCCTTCTCCTACGTAGCCATGATGTTGTGATTGCTGCAGAACGTGGTCTGGCATTATCGTGTTGAAAAATGCAGGGTCTTCCCTGAAAGAGATGACGTCTAGATGGGAGCATATGATGTTCTAGAACCTGAACATAGTTCTCTGCATTAATGGTGCCTTTCCAGACATGCAAGCTGCCCATGCCACAAGCGCTCATGCAACCCCATACCATCAGTGATGCAGGCTTCTGAACGGAGCGTTGATAACAACTTGGGCTATCCTTGTCCTCTCTGGTCCGGATGACATGGCGTCCCAGTGTTCCATAAAGAACTTCAAATCGTGACTCATCTGACCACAGAACAGTCTTCCATTTTGCCACAATCCATTTTAAATGACCCCTGGCCCAGTGCAAATGTCTGAGCTTGTGGAGCTTGCTTGGAAATGGCTTCCTCTTTGCACTGTAGAGTTTCAGCTGGCAACGGCGGATGGCACGGTGGATTGTGTTCACTGACAATGCTTCTGGAAGTATTCCTGAGCCCATTCTGTTATTTCCTTGACAGTGGCATTCCTGTTTGAGGTGCAGTGACGTTTAAGGGCCCGGAGATCACGAGCATCCAGTAGAGTTTTACGGCCTTGACCCTTACGCACAGTGATTGTTCCAGATTCTCTGAATCTTTTGATGATGTTATGCATGGTTGATGATTATAACTTAAAAGTCTTTGCTATTTTACGCTGGGTAACACCATTCTGGTATTGCTGCACTATCTTTCTGCGCAACAATGGTGGAATTGGTGATCCTCTTACCATCTTGGCTTCTGAGAGACACTGACACTCTGAGAAGCTCTTTTTATACCCAATCATGTTGTCAATTGACCTAATTAGTGTTAATTGGTCTTCCAGCTGTTCGTTATATGCTCAATTTCCTTTTTCCAGGCACTTATTGCTACTTGTCCCAACTTTTTTGGGATTTGTTGACACTGTGAAATTTTGAATAAACATATTTTTCCTTTAAAATGTTACATTTACTCAGATTAAACTTTTGATCTGTCATCTATGTTACATTACAAATAAAATATTGACATTTGCCATCTCCACATCATTGAATTCAGTTTTTATTCACAATTTGTTTAGTGTCCCAACTTTATTGGAATCCGGTTTGTACTTACTACTACTACTGCTTGTGTACAGAACTTTGTTCCATCTCATGTAGCACATGGGATGGTAATGACAAAATTTACTTGAACTTGGAAGTACTGTATCCCTACTTCATGGTTTTTCACTTGTTGCGGGGGGGCGTGGTCCCAAACCCCCGTGATAAACAAGGGACTACTGTATACATCTTTTTTTTTAGTTTAGCACCATTGGTCAATAAAACTAATTTACTGGTAAATATGCTTATGTGTATAAAAAAATAAAATAAAAAAGGTGTTGCAAGTAACTGAACAATACGTCTCACAAAAAATACAAGTGTGTCACGTTACATTTACAGAAACGATTGATCATTAATCTTGAAGTAAAGCTTGGACCAGACACTGTGCCTAAACACACAACTTCATTTTTTACATTTTTCATTTTGAGTGGAATGGATTGTTGCTAAATAACTGCAAACTGAACTCCATTTGTGTTTGTAATTTTCACTCATCTGAGAGAAAAACTCTTGCAACTTAAAACAAAATGTACAGTGAGTTTATGGTGTAGTAGTATGAGTTTTGTTATGCTGATGGCTCTCTTTTTGAGAATAAAAGTATATACATTTTTCAATTTCATTTTAGTATACCGAGCTACTTCTTCATGCAGACAAAAAACTGTATTATATTTATGACCATGTGGTTTCAACTAATAGCCTTTTAAAATGAGCTATTGATTCTCCCTGCAACATTTTAAAAAATAAACCTTGAAACAAATATATTTGACAGCAAGAAGCATAACCCACTCAAAGTGATAGTATAAAAAAGTAATAAGAACAAAAAAAAAAAAAAAAAAAACTGGTGACAAATGACACCTGGTATTGTTATTAAAAACTAAAAAAAATTGTTGTAGTAAATGGATGCTAGAAACTGAATAAACACTTCTTAAATCAATTTCTACATTGTGAATCAGGTAATATGCTTTCTGTTAATAAGAGATCATCAAGCAAATCACACATTTCTTAAACAGGAAACATTTAACCAAAATTAAGCTAATCAAGATTTATTATTAAAACAATTGTCTTTTTTAAAGTCTATGCAGCGTTCGTACTTTCAGTGTAATTAAGTTTCGTTGTGAGTCAATTCTCCCAGTGAGAAAGAATCATTACTCAATAAAAATCTAGTCTTATTTGATGTTGGACAGACAAAACTAACATTTCTCAGTAAAAACTTGGGCTTTGTGCTTTCAGAAGCATATATTTTTTTAAATATTTGTACAAGTTTTAGTATCCAAACAGATTGTGGTAATAAGAAGTTCAGAGGTGACATCACAGAGACTCAGGTTTCACGTATCCTAAGCTGTAAGCACCTTTTCATGTTATTTAATTGCTCCAATCGTCTTACCTTCCACGCCACTGATACACTTGACTCGATCGCGAACCTCCACATTGTATCCCTCGAATGACATGAAGACTCCATCAGGGTGGTAGGGTTCGCGCTGGGCGTAAACCTTTGAGTAGCTGTGTTGGAACTCAAACCGATCGTAGCCATCATACTGAATTATTTTGCCGTACACCTCAAAGTATTTTTCCATCCAGCTGAAAGGCAGGTATACCTCCCCGCCCTCTCGCCTGCCTTTGATGGTGGAGTCATCGTTGATCAGGCAATCGATCTCTTCATATTTGACTCCGCCAAGAACACCGACGACAGGAGGGGGTTCAGGAGGTTGTGGAGGTTGCTGCTGGTTGCTGATGCCATCATCCCTGATCTTGGGGCTTGGAGCCACGAAGGCAGCGCGGGGCAGGAAGCGAATGGAGGTGTCACTGGCACAGCGGTTCCATAGCAGCACCGTGATGAGAGTGAAGAGAGCGCAGATAACAATGAGGGTCTTGTAGTTCACCCGTGCAGCCAGGCAGCGCATGTTCACAACCAGCCTGTGAAACACACACAAAAAACAGCACATTAAATACACATTCAAGACTTCTGTGGATCACTGAAAAGTCAGATGACTTGAAGAAACAAATGCAAATATTTAATTTCCACATTTACCTGCCTTAACTCTCTTATTTGAATAATACTACTATTAATATTATTATTCAACATTTAACATATTTAACATTGGTGGAAAAAAAAATCTTTTGGCTACTCCCTTCTTCAGGGGTCGCCACAGTGAACCAACTCGCATGAAGACTTCGTGATTGTTTTTACGCCGGACGTCCTTCCTGACACAACCCCAGACCACCGAGCTACCTCAGTCCTCTGTGTGGAGCAGAGAGCTGCTGTCTAGGGTGCCTGGGGGAGCAGATGGTGGGGGTTAAGGGACTTGCTCAGGGGCCCAGAGTGGGGCAAATGAGAGTGGAGACAGGTGTGGGTGTTCCACCTTTTCCACCCACATTTTTGATGTTAGTTCGGGGAGTCGAACCAGTGACGTTCCAATCACAGGCCCACCTTCTCTAACCTCTGCACAACCACTCCCCCATTTAACATTAGTGAATAAAGCCTTTAAATATGGCTTATTAAAAAAAAACAGAATTTAGAGTTGAACCGCTCTTCAGTTTCACTGTTTCATAAAATACGACATAAACTTCATAATTTTTCTATTTTTAATTGTTGATGAACATGAAGACATAACTTGTGTAATAGAAACTGCATATTTAACCAAGCCCAAGTTATCTTATCTTATCTGACAGCTGCTCCTTCTCATTTAATTATTTTTACTTTTAAAAAGAGACTTTAGTTTTTTTTTTTTTTTTTTTT